ATCAATTCACTCAGACCACTGATCAAGATCCTAGCCTGCTTGATTGACTTCCCCTCTTCTTCTTCTTGTGACCTGTTCACCTCCATTTTCCTTGTAGCCATTCCATTCAAAAATAGCTGCCTGGATAATGGACTGTGCAGGCCTTCTTTGCTTCTCAAACTTCCACAAATTACGTGACTTCCAAAGCCACCATAATATATAGGTTGATAGTTGAATCCTGGCCTCGGAAATGTCACTTTTGTCAATCTGGCAAATCTGCCACCACCAACTTCTGAAAGATTTATGCTGATTAGGACCTTCCCATTGAACAGGTGCCATTTTCCATACTCTTTTAGCTTGTTCACAGTGAAATAACACATGTTCTGTAGTTTCCTTCTCCTCCCCACATGTGCTACATATTGGGTCAACCTCCATTCCTCTTTCCCTTAAGTTCATATTAACTGGCAAAGCCCTTGTACAACACCTCCAAATGAAATGCTTCACTTTCCCCATAATTTTCATGCTCCAACTTCTTTTTCTCACTTTGATATCCCTAATGTGATCTGCACTCCCCTGAGCCTGCTGCACCCTGAGGTATTTCTCTGTTAAAAGTTTTGAGTACAGAGAATGAACAGAGAATATACCTTTCTTTTGGAGTGTCCATATCCATCTTTCCTCCTGATATGGATTGATGGTTGTGATCTTCAACACCTTCTCACTTATATCCTGTGGGAATGTCTGTTTGACCTTCACCTCATCCCGTAGAGTTTTTTCCTCATTCATTAAGTCATTGACTCTTTTGATTCTTCTGTCTACTCCAGGTAATAGCTCCATCCTCCTACCTTCCATATCTGGAATCCAGTGCTCATCCCACACACTTGTGTGCTGCCCATTCCTGATTTCTATTTTCATCCATTTGCTGCATTTTTTCAACACTGTTAACCAGCTGTTCCACAACCATGATGAACTTGGTTTCTGTGTGGCTTCAAACAAAGAAGAATTTGGGTAATATCTTGATTTCAACACTCTGCTTGATAAGGCATCTGGTTCTGCAAGTAATCTCCACAGCTGCTTAGCAATGAGGGATTCATTAAAAGCTTTAACATCCTCAAACCCTAACCCTCCATGCTCCTTTTTCAGTGTCAACTTATTCCAAGCCACCCATGAAATTCCTTCCTGTCCCTCATTATGGTTGCCCCACCAAAATTTGCAGCAGATTTTTGATATTTCATCACATAATCCTCCTGGCAACACAAAAAATCCTTTTTAAAGGCCAGTTGATTTTATGGCTTTTTTTATCACGGTCACATATAAAGTTGTAAAACGATCTTAAGAGCATCTCCAGTGGCCTTTGGATTGTCCTATCTTGTTGCCACATGGCACAAAAAATCCTATGTGGCCTAAAAAAATTCTAGAAGTCTTTCTAGATGTAGAAGTACTTCTAGACAATTTCTATTATATATTATATTACATATTCAATTTTTTTATTTTTTCAACCAATTATAAATTTACACATGTCATAATAAACCTCTTAAACATACCCCTTGAAGACACAATTTTTTAATCTCCTTTCTACATGGTATGCAACTCAAAATGGACAACTTCCCATTGGAGATGCTCTAAGCCAGCAGGCCGGCACACGCTCTGCCCCCCCAAAGCGGCGGTTTGGGTCGAGATTTTCTAGCCCCGATGAAGAGCACGCCTAAACGTGCCAGCCCGCGTGTGTCATGGGCTAGGGAGGGTCCGGCTGGACCGTCAATTATTAAAAAAAGGGAAAATATAAATAGATAATTAACTAATGTCAATTAGCCTCATCAGTCTCAAAAATAGTCTTGCCCTTGCCCTTAAATCGTCAAAAACATCTAAGCCCGACATCCGCCGTCCGTGGCACTACGCCCTCGCCGGACAATCACACTCCGGCCTCTACTCTAGTCCCAATCGTCGTCAGCCTCACCCCCAGTCGATTGACTGGTTCGTAGCAGCGACCTTTCAGACGAATCTCGACGGTGTTCCCTCAGCTCTTTATCGCGGCGGTCGACGGGTTCGTAGTTTACGATGTAATTTATGTTGATCGTGGGCTCGTTCTTTTTGCTGCAAAATTTGTGTCCGTTTAGCCGATTCTTGATTAGCTGTGGTTTTCTTGTGAAAAACTTTGCTGTTTGTGAGATTCGCATAGTGGATAATGAAGCACATGAAGTAGTGAAATTGAGTGTGTCTGTGTGTGTGTGTGATAGGTGAAGCCTGAATTGAATACTTCGTTTCCGTAAGAATCAAAACAAGAACACCTACTCAATGGTTCCTACTGTCTTTGCTATGTGATCTTTCTAATGCTTGCTTATCTATGTACCAATATTTATTGTCGATAAGTTCTACTTAGTAAACTGCTAAGTCATCTTTCCTTTACTGGATTCTTGTGTGAACTGTTTGTAAAGTTTGCTCCTTTTTTGCATTTGGATTGAGTTGGTATCTAAAAAATGTTCATATTTTTAGCAACAATAAAGAAGAGTACAGACCCATTGCCAGTCGAAGTCATCAGTTTATATAGATTACAGAAAATGTTTACAGATGCTTTCATTACGGATTTACGGTCTTCAACAAGTAGGTTGAAGAAGAAGTGGTTGACAGTCGAACAGATCCCGGCGACTAAAAGCTTGACGCGGCACTCGGCGACGAAGGGAATTAAACAAATATCTTTCGTACGTATTATATTTTTATTGATTGGTAAATATTCTAGACCTAGTATTTTATTTTTGCATTGGATAGCTTTTGGGTTTTTTAGCTTGGGTTTATCCATGTCATTATGGACTTAAGTCCATTTATTTGCCACATGTAAAATTAGACCCAATGCATTGTGGGTGCTCTAAGAGCCTTCCCAACCTCTAGTCGCTCTCTCTAATACCCTGCCTCAAACCTCTTAAGAAAAAGGAGGAGGAGGGAAAAACCAATGGACCAAATGCCCTCCCAACCCTTCAATTCGATACCGGAGAACCATCACAACAAGAAGAAAAAGAAGAGATCTTGCGAGTCGGAGCTTACAATCGAAGGCTACACAATCGACGGCGTGTCAA